TGTTGTGATTGATTTATTATCGCATGGGTTACTAGATAAAAAGTTTCTTTATGCATAATAAACAATTTGACAGAAATTTAGCCGCAGAATCGTTAATGTTGAATATTTTTTCATGAAATTTGGTACAGATCCATTTCAGGGGACGCCGAATCCAGTGGCGTACGTAGATTTTTTCTAAAAAAATCGCTAATATGGATTCTGGATTTTTCAGCCTCTGAATGTGATCTAGTAGGCCTTAGTTTAAAAGAGAACTGGACGGCGCTTGGCCCCAAAATACACTTTTTCCCCCTCTACATTTCAAAAAAAAATTCGTCAAAATCGCTCCATAAATAAAAATGTTATGAGGGTGGCCCGCTTTCAAATGGGTCACTCTGTATAATAATTATATTGTACATAGTTTACACACAATACATTTTTGAACGCGTACGCATCTTTACCCGAATTTGACGCGCAATATCGCCGATGTCCGAGGTCTTTAGGTTCGCAGTGTGTACAACTGCTAGTCAATTATTAGCGCTGTTGCCACATCTACATAGTCTTTATACGTACATTAAATATAATTTAAAACTACTTAAATACCTGTATGATATTTTTATGTTGTTAATTAGTCAATATGTATGCTATGTGCATATGAGTAGATATCTTTGCTATATAGATAATGATTATCGCAAATAATTTCAATAGAATTTAATTCTATCAAATTGGCAGCTGGTTTTAGTCCCATAAGAAAAGCATAGGACCCCCCCTGCGCTCCTCACTTCCCTCGGACCCCGATATACCTCCTTAATAACATTACGTTCGTTCCCGGAAGGTTCAAGTTGGTTTCATTTATTTTCTTCATCAAAAATTTTTATGGCTGTATTTCTTTTTCTGGGTGCAGGGCTAAAAATGTTTTATATAATTCTAAACTAAATTTGTCGAAAAAGCACACACAGCACAAAGGAATATTTACTAACCAGTCTTGCGAAGCTGTTTTTTTTTTTCAGTTTAACTCTCTGCCGCGGGAGAGCCCCCCGAGTAAAACAATTTACCAAAGTTATCGCTTTGCCTTCTTTACTGACTGTTTTTCTCTTCACAGGAAACGCGTTATCCTGCAAGGAGACCTTCAGCCTTCTCTACTACGAGTTCGACGCAGCTACGAGGGAGCCACCCCCGTGGGACGCAGACAGATACAAATTGATAAGTAAGTCCAATTTACTTTTCACCGGGCATGGGAAATTGTAAATTTTTCATGGGGATGTTCACTGAGTCAACCAGAAACGCGTTGGAGGTGTTTTAACTTATAGCATTGCGTTCAAAAAAAAAACAAGCAAAAAACCTGTCTAACTAGTCGTAAAATCATCTATTCCAACGTAAAATTATCAAATTTAACGAAAAAAATTGGAGCAAAAGAGATTTTATCTCAACAAAAATCATTTTGCCCTTTAACTTTGTTCTATTTCCGTTCGCGGTGTTCCTTCTACCGAAAATTCCACGTGATTTGCGCACAATCTCAGCTACACACTCCGTAATGAATTTTCACAGTATTCAGTCGCTCATCGCTCGTATAGCCCTTGTAGACGACATTTGGAAGAAGAAAACAAATAACTTTCATGGATCATTACATCTAGATAATTTAAATTTACCGCCCGATTTATTTCTGTATGTCAACAAGAGATGGCGGCAACGCGGTTTAACTGTAATACAAGGCGTTCGGAGTTCTATATTAAGAGTTCTGGGCTACTAAATACCATTCGCTCCCGAACCTAATCGGAAGGGCATAAAAATATAATCCTGGATAAAGCAATACAAACAAACGGGGCGTTCGCTCGTCCCCGCTAACCGTCCTGTTGACACGCCGTATATTAACTTTTTATTTGGCGTGAAAATAAACCGGGACCCATTATGTCGGGTCGTTATCATCCGTACCAGTGTTTTTCTATCGGGACACAAAAACTGCCCATAAGCATAAGTCACGCTGCGAACGTAAAAATTCGACAGGACTGCCTTGCCGGGCGGTCAGCAGCCAGTAGAAGGCGATACAGAAGTGGTATAAGTGTATGGTTTGCTGAGATTCTTTATAAAATTGTACAAAGCCAATGCACCTAAAGATTATCAAAGTAATTATTTTTTTTTTTGTAAAAATGTTGTTTTTCGAAAATATATATAGATATTTTAAACTTGTTTTCTAAGTGCCAAAAAGACACTGGTTAAATTAAACGAAAAACATTATTTTATTATTTTGTGGGTGTTGATTATTAATTTAATTGTATAAATTGTTTCAATAATATTGTTAGCATCCTGTATAGACACTGATAGATTTATTAGATAACGGACGAATGTATGCACCAGATATTCCTCTGCTGCAGCAAATTCTATACTTTCATTGGTGCTTGGTGCGTGACGTCAATTGGGTTGCGTTTATTCGGTTCCGGGCGATTCTGTCGGCACAGGCAAATAGGCGTACTCGCGAGAGGAGTCCGAGGATATCTTTCCGTTAATTTAATTGTGATTGTAGTTAATTTATTAGTGATTTTGGGTTTGTGTTCTTAAAAATGGAGAGCAATTCAAGCTGGATTTGTTTCGTTTATTAACCATGAGGCATTTATTTATTTTTGAAAATTTATCGATGCTGACGGAGCAACTGAATCAGAACCGTTAAACACTTTCTATTTGCAACTTAAATTTTACTCAATAGAGTTTTCAGTTTACTTCAAACCACTGAAGTAGACATTCTTAATCATTTTCGCAATTTTTTTCATAAAAAAACCGCAAATAGTACAGCGTTGGACAATAAAAGACTTTTATAAAACAAAAGAAATTTACGAAAATCTGTCGATAAATAGAAAGGGTCTAAATTTATATTTCTTAAGGAATTGGGAAAGCAAATCAGTGGCGGACCTTTTTTTTCAATAAATACCTACACCTTTACCTGCCCTTACCTACGCCTATGGCGATATAAAAAATATTTGATTTGCTATAAAATTTACGTAAGTCAATTATAGTTTTTATTTTTCACTTAGGCGATATAGCTTGTTTATTACTAAGAAACAGAATAGGAAAACAATAATATTAAATGTTATCTTCCGCATTTTGACCCTTCTTTTCTGCAAGGGTAGAATAGTAAAAGTGCCTTGTATAAATGAAACAAGACAAATGAAAGTACAAAGTTTACTAACATTAATATTTGATATATATATATATATATGTAGAAAAANAAACGTAAATTTTATTCATTAAAAAAATAACAATTCCTATGTCAAGCAAATACAATTCATTAAGTTTTCTACCTAAATTAAGTGTTCGAATTGCCACCCACCGACTTCTTGACAATACGCAAGTCTGTGTAGAAATTCTTCTTGCACATTATGAATTATTTCTGGGGTAACTCTGTGTATTTCATCTATAATACAATTTTGGAGTTCTTCTAAATTATGTGGTCTATTAACGTACACTTTGGACTTTAAGTAGCCCCATAAGAAATAGTCCAGGGATGTAAGATCTGGGGATCTCGCGGACCATTCCGTCGGTCATCGTCTGCCGATCCACCTCCTGGGAAAGCAATTGTCCAGAAAATCTCGAACAGGGCGCGCATAGTACGGAGGTGCACCGTCTTGCTGAAACCATATGGTGTCATCAGGAATATCAGGGTCATTATCGTTAGGAAAAATTACTGCAAGCGCTGGAACAAAATCATTTTGTAAAAATTCTAAATATGTTTCTCCTGTAAGGGTTCCTTCAAAGAAGAAATACCCTACTATTCTGTTGTCAACTATTCCAGCCCACACATTTAATTTCTGTGGATGTTGGGTGGTACGTGTCTCTGCCATCCAATGAGGATTTTCCCTACTCCAATACTTGCAAGTTTGACGGTTCACTGTACCATTAAGACAAAACATGGCCTCGTCTGAAAAAAGTATTTGCCGGTGTAAATCTCTATTTAGTTGACATAAATCCATAATAATTTCACAAAAGTGTAAGCAGTGGTCGGGATCGTCTTGATTGAGTTCCTGCACAAGTTGTATTTTGTAGGGATGATATTTTTCCTGCCTCAGGATACGTAGCACTGTGATCTGACAATTTCATTGTTTAATGCAACCAATCGTGAAGTATTATGAGGATTATCTACCATACTTTTCAAAATATTCTGTTTGTGATCTTCACTAACGCTTGGACCTCCAAGTTTTGGAATATCTACAACATTGCCAATTTCTCTAAATTTAGATTCTATCTTACTGACTGTTGATTGGCTGATGTGACGATCTGGATGTTTTTCATTAAATAAATCGCAAACTTCCTGCTGCGTTCTAGTCTTATCCCCGCATACGGTAAGAATTAAAATTTCAATTCTTTGTGTGACAGTTAAATGTGCCATAATACTTTAAATTCAACAATAATTTTAGAAAGTCGGTATGACAGTGACACTTTGTAAATATTTACACCTACGTGATCCATAAAAAACTTCAGACATTTCGAAAAACTAAATAACGATAACGTTTTTGCTTTATTTTAATTGATTTGGGTTTTCTAACATTCAATCGTCATTTACTCGAAAACTTTCCTATGTAAGATGGCAACATTTTAATACTGTCGGATCGACAATGAAACGATTTTTCAGTATCAAGAAAAACAATACGTGGTTGCTATTTAAAAAAATGTCGATGACGTCATTACTCGAAGACAAATGACGGTTGAAAATCGCATTTTATGCTAAAATATGTATTTTTTAAATTAAAAATCGACCTGTTCGAGGATTTTTCCCAAAAAAAAAAATTGTTTCGTTTTTACTGAATTTGTTCCATACTTTAGGCGCGTACTGTATATTGAAAAACTTTCATTCTCGTTTACATTTAATTATTAAATTTAAAATAAATATATAATCAGATGTCTAAGTAAAAAATAAAACGTTGTATACACCACGGGAGATACTAGGATAACTATGCCCTGTGTCGCCCTTGATACATAAATAGCTACAACTGATCCTTTTTGACACCAGGAGTTATTTACTTATTTTTTTTTAACTGTGTCAAAAATGCCTAATGAAATAAAAAAATAATTGAAAATAGGTACCACAAAAATAAATAATTACAGACAATACTTTTAAGTTGCAGCTACATTGCCATCGCAATAATCTATCCCGCTACCCGTAATCAGTTAATTCGCAACCTTTCAAGCTCGATTTGCGTTAATTGCTGCAAAAATGGCTAGTACGCTTCGTGACAGAATCCCATTGAATTATTTATTGCAAATTATTTTATACCTTCGAAACAATTATTCGCTATCCTTCTGCGGCGAACAGCGACACAATTACTTGTTTAATTAACTTGTCATTATGATTTATCCACTGCAAATTGTGACACAGTCGCGTATTGTTCGTCGATCGCCGGCCATTTTTTCACAGACAGGTTATAAATTAATCACCCCTGTGCCAGTGTTTTATGTGGATTTTTATAGCGGATCGACGTTTGCGACGGTTTCGCAATAGGAAAACCGCTCGCATGGAAACTATGCCGATAAGTGGGGTTTGTGAAATAAAATAAGGAACAGAGGAAGGTTTACAGTGTTTTGAAAACGGCGCAGAATTGTTTTGTCCGCAATGTGGGTGGCGGGATTCGAAATAGCGGCACTCATTTCAATACGCCACTACAACAACAGTTCTCAACTGACTGAGGCAATTGAGCAAGCGTTCTGATCCCAATACGTTGGCTTTGAATGAATGCAGTGTTGCCAATTTTGTCGAATATAAAAATTACAGAACATCAGTCTTACAATTAGTACTTTTACTTTGTAGAGAGAAGTGAGAATTATTGATTTCCTACCAAAGTGTGTATATACGTATATTAGGGTGCTTTTATTTAGATTTTTAGAATTTTTAGACAATAAATTTTCGGGCGGATCGGTTCCTTCAAGGGGGGGGGTGATATATATTGAATAAAATCGAGTTTAAAATACCTAAAATTATACAGGGTGTTTCTGAAAGATCTCCCGTAAATACAGGGGTGATAATAACGACAAAAAAACTCTTGTTTTCGAGATACAGAGCGACAAAATAAAAATTTTTAAATAGAAGTTTTACGGAAGTTTCCAAACGGAAAAAATTGGATAAATGCTTAGAAGTAGGAGGCATGCATTTCGACAATTGTTTAAAATAATAATCATAATTTTATACTTTGTTTTGTGTTCTGTTAGTTATTGTTTTATTTA